TGTAATGATGACGATCACGGCAATGGGAAAACATCTAATCATTCGTTTTCCAGGGATTATGATTGTATAATGTTGTTATGACAGTAAGAGGGTGCATTGAAATGATAGCTATAATGCCCGTGAGCTTCTGCTTTCTGAAAGTACTAACCGAAGCTTAATATAAGCATAATCAATCTAATAGTGACATAGACAGCGGTCTCGATCGTTTGATCCAGATTGCATGGTCATAATACTCGGGTCACATTGTTAAATCGACTCCAAATCTAGCGGTAGCGACATAATTATCCCTAGTCATTAAGAGTAATGCAATTGTTGTTGTTCGGTCTGTTGTTGGCAGGAGGTCTGGCGCATCAACGTGAATCGGGTAAAAGTCGAAAGATTTTCTTCCTTCTTTTCTGGCAGGATTCTTTACTTCAAAAGAGATTTCCTTTTTCTTCAAGAAGGTATCTGTTTAGAGAAAGAGAGAACAACTCTTTCTTTTTTTAGATGAAAGAATAGCTTCTCGTTGTCAGGTTTTGCAGAACTTCAAACCCACTTCATGCAAATGCTTGCGTTGATCTACGGCGCAAGAATTCCCAAAGCCTGACGCCATCCAATACTTGCTCTCGTGTAGCTGGACTGAGAAGTGTATGTAATATAGCCGCTCTTTCTTATCGATGCATCCACCAAGCTGCTCCCCAACGGGCCGACTGTGTAAGGTTACATTTTAATTTGTTTACCCTGCACTAACCCTATGCGCCGTCAGAGTACGGCAGATTGCACTCCTACGTCCATCTTCAGAAGAGAATTCTCATAGGTTTCTCCTCCCGCCCCCCCCCCCCTCCTCCACCTCTACTGCCGTACTCCAAGAAGCCAGATGACTGTAATCCTAAGCCCAATCATGTCTCAAGTTTTCCAATCCTAATGGATTTGGTAAACAGCCCTTTTCAGAGGGCCAGAACTCATTAAACGGCCGGATTGCCTGGGCTGTGTGCACGTGCGACCGAAAATATACAAAGTGTGATTGATTTTGGAATCTCGTGTTTCTGATGGCGGGAACTTTTTCGGGCGATGCATTCGTGCTTCTTTCACTCAACAGACAGGTAAACTCGACTTCAGTTCGTTCATGCTTGTCTGCCAGCCTGTCTCAAAATAGAGAGAGAGAGAATCTCCCAGTCACTGTCTTACTTTGTGCATATTTAAACAAGATCTTGACCAAAATTGGAAGGATGCAAGCACGGTCTGCGTCGCATTCCACCGTCCTAAAATACTCACGAAAGTTCTGAACAAAGTTCATATATCCTTTTCTCATGTTGTAGGGAATGGGGGTATTGGATAATTCGAACGAAGCCAGCCTGCACTTTCTAAATTCTTTGCAATGAGATCTTTGAAGCGCTGTAGTATGTCTTGCACGTAGATAAAAAGAAAAGGGAGAATGTCGCTGCCTTTCTGTTTTCGGTAATATCTCTCAAATATATACCATGGTTTTGCAGTGCATTTTCGCGAGGTCCGACCTTCAAATACATAATTTGAGTAAAAAGGAGAGCCAATAGTGCACTGAAAGTTCAAAAGATTCGAATTTACAACAACAAAAAAGGAAATTATTGCTATGCTCGTATAAAACAAAACAAGAATATCTAGTTATGCTACTATAGAAACATTATAAATGTTGTTATTTATCGATTCACGCACTGCTACATTGTGCACTTTAAGATTAAAACAAAAGGCCCCAAAAGGCTTGTTAGGTGAGGATTTTAGATGATTGTCATTTGGATATCCGTAGGTCTGGCAAAACCAACACGAGATCTTATAGAAGCCGACCAACAAATAATGATTTCGTCATTGTTGTTACCAAGAACACGAAATGACACGCATTCCTATCATACTTACTTCCAAAGATGACATACTTTAGTTCATGCATTTTTAGACAATTCTCTCAGAACTTCACAATTACTGTTGAGCATATCCAATATTTTTGTCACATATACCATGAATATGTACATTTTCACCTTAAAGATTTCAGTGTCATTTATCAGGCCTAAAGAAAAAAAATTGGGTCGGTCGGTCGGAAAATCTTTTTTTTAAAACTTTTTTTTAAAACTTTTTTTTTCCTCTTTGGGCTGATATCTCTCAATTTTGGAATGCTTTAATATTTTTTTTCTCTAAAAAGCAGTAAGAAAAAAAAATTGTTTAAAAAGCCGACCGTAGATTTCAAGATTTTGGAGTCGGTCGTAAGGGGCAATACCACACCTTTTTTGTAGGCCTCATTGACTGTTTTAAACTGATAGATTTTCCGCACTTCCACTTTAATTGACTCCTTTCACAAGTACTTAAAAACACACCTCTTCAATAACTGATATAATTATTTTTCTTCTTTTGTTGATTTTCTGTATAATAATAATAATGATAATTCTACATTTATATTGTGCACAACTCTGCCAACATAATTATAGGCACCCTTGGCGCACAGATCAACAAATCAGCCACATTACAATTAAGTAAAAGGGCATTACTTAAAATTGAACTGAACTAGGATATTACAAACTGAAAAGGCAACAAATGGTCAACATAGCTACAGATATGCTACTAGTAAACCAAAAGTAATAAAACAAATATTCAACCTGGATAATAATCCTAAGATTAGCATTTATTTGTCATGTAAAGGGCATTAGGCAATACCGTTACTATGGATTTTTAAGCTATATAAAAGAAAAATCAATTGTATGTATGGGTGTGTGCATGTATGTATGTATTGTTGTTATTATTATTATTATCATAATTAGTATTAATAATAATAATATTAATAACATAATTTATAATCATAATTAGCCTTGCATGCGCAGATAGGGTTTGTGCACCGTCGCACTTTGATGCTTCATCCGGCAGGAGTGGGTACGTCATACTAGAAGGCTTTTTGTCACGAAGTAATTACTACTCCTAAGCGCAGTCGTAGCAGCAGGTGTGATGTGAATTGATACGCTATTTGTTTCAGAGGCACAATCAACCCGTACCCCCTCCCTCCTTTATTTTAAGCCAAGGGACATAGATTCAGTACTCAATTCCATGAATGTACCGCTCCCGGCCTCCTTTCAAACTTAGCCTTAAAGGTGATGACTTTTTTCTTTTCTTGTTTCATATAACAAAATCCTGGACGCGCCCAGGGCTGGATGTGCGTGATCCCAAGATTAATCAATTCGAAGGCCGAATCTAGATTTTAATTTGACCGGATTTTGAGAAATTGAGTTTTTCATGGGCATTTTGAGAAAGTGCCTTTCTCGTGGGCATTTTGACATCTCCAGTAACACATCCAATTACAGATTTGACAGAGATGCGTTATGACGACTAACCTTTGATGATGGTTACTAGGAAATTATCATTTTAGAGGCACAAAATAACACCTAGGGCGAGAAAAATCGAGCTGATATCCAAGGAAAGATAGTATGACATGAATGTAACAGATATTGTAAATAACTGGAACCCCATCCCCACCCCCACCCCCACCCCCACCCCACCCCCTCCTCCGAAAAATAAATTCATCAAATCAAAGAACAATACCAAAAAAGAGGTGTCGTACTCGAGTGGTTTTAAAACTTGACCGGAAATACATTGGTCGTGGTTTCTATCCCCGGCGCGGCAAATGTGTCCTTTCGAAACATTAATTTACATTTGCCACTCTCCAGCCATGTGTTGAATGTGTACCAGTATTATAGGAAATTATTATTTGAGTAACATGAGCAACGACGTCGGTAGCCTAGCTACATCTGTGGTAATATTGTAGGGTCTTGAGCACCTTATACGTGGTGGATATGTGTGGTATAGAATATCCAATATTATTGTTATCATTATTATAAGTAGTAGTAAGTCTAATGATCCTTCTACTACATTAAGGGCGAGAAAGATTTTTTTAATTTTTTTTTATCTAGATAGAGAGTCAAATAGATTCGGGCTCGAACGTAAATGTAGGCCAGTTCAGCATGAAATAATCAAATTAATTAATCTCCCCAGTGCCCCATGTTGAATTGCAGACGGAACTCTGAGCTCAATCTATCACATAGAAAGTGCTTTCGGACAGTGAAAACTAAAGATTTTTTGACGGACCTGGGAACTATACGATCATCGCCAAAATCTAGACGCAACCTCTGGCACAGAAAGATTACAGGGCTTAATATAGTTAGTTAGCTCAATGATGGATCGAGTTGAGCATAATGAGTCGCAAAGTGCGTCATGAAAGGTTTTTAGTTGACTCTACTTGATGGTCATGTTTCAGCCAGTAGCATTTCCAGTCTAATGTTACGAGTTTTTTGAGCGTGAGGATTATGAAAAGTCCAGACTTGCAGTCAAATCGCCATGGGCTTGCGTCCTATAATTATGCTGAAAAGGCGAGCTTTCAAAGATTGGATACCATAAAGAAAGCTTGATAAAAGCAACTTGAGTCTATAATGTGATAAAAATGTCCCCCTTCATAGGCCAACCAGACTGTTTACTTGCATCTAGGTTTTAGCTGTGAGCTATTTGTAGTTCTACACGATATTAACGTCAAACTGAGGAATGTCTCGTATTATAATGGGTGTACGTTAGGAGCTATACCCTGCGTGAAGAAAGAATATCCAACTATGAGGCGTATTAATCGATGTACCTAGCCTTATTTTGACCACATTAATAATAGTACCACAGCCATTCATAAAAAAAATGAAGTAAAAGCCATTTAATAACAAATTTTCTTTAAGTTCCAGATAAATTATGTATATCTTCCATATTCATAATTAATATGTTGAGCAACTTTTTTTTTCTCAACATTTCACCAATTACAGAAACCCTGTTGCTCAAGAATAGAAACATGCTTCCTTTTAATCTAAGTCCACGATTTGCAAGTTGTCTGGTTGATAGTTTGATTGCTTGTTATTTTCTAGTAAACCTATATGCCCGTTTCTTGCAATTTGTTCAAAAACAAAGATGCTACCATTTCTTCTCGAAAAAAAAAAATCATAATTCCTTTTATTTCTTGTTTCCATACTATCCAGGGTGCCAACAGAGGGAATGATGATGCAGGTATGATGACAGAAGACATATCAACAGCTACAAAGGAAGATACATAGATGCCTTGGAAATGGTGAAGGAACCACTCGAAATGAAGGAAATCTATAAATCCGCATCAGTATACAGCTGCTATTGACACTTAATACTCGAAGTGAGAGAGTGCTACAAACCAATGGTAGTTTTACATAAATAGCGATGTAAACCGTGCAAGATAAATAGGCTAAAGGATAAAACGATTGGGCACCTTTCCGGTGTCGAGATATATTATTTATACGATGAAATTGCACGCGTCGCCATGGAGCGTCGGTCGAACGATTATCGTATGGTGTTTCCTTGCGCTATTTCTCGACGCGGTCCTCGCAAGGGTCTCCAGGACTTTCCCGTGCCCCGAGGCGTGTTTATGCGACCTGATCACGCTTCGGGTGGACTGTTCACGCGGTGGGTTCCAGGGTCTACCCGCTTCTGTGCCGCCAAACACAAGGATATTACTCTTTCAGGAGAACAGCATAGGAAACGAGCTCACCATACCTGTTTTCAACATCACAGCTTTAGTTCGCCTTCGGCAGTTGTCTCTTGCCAACAATTCATTGAGTTTCATTAACTCGTCAGTGTTCCCGAAACAAATAAGGCTGATCAAACTTGACTTTGCCAATAACTACCTAGAGGGCGTCCCAGCGATGGTTCGTGAAATGCGATTGCTCAAGCAGTTACACCTCAGCCATAATCGAATATCTAGTGTTAGTAACAATGATTTACCGCCGTCTTCTACCATAGAGAAGTTATACTTGGATTACAATGAAATCTACATCCTTGAGGATGGTGCCTTTGCCGGTCAAAAGCGGCTTCAAAATTTATATCTGGCGGAAAATCTCATCAGCAATATTTCAACTGGTCTTTTCTCGAGACTCTCAATGCTCATGCAACTTGACTTATCATACAACGACATTGGTGCCGATTTAAAAACGCAATATGATTTTCTCACTGACGACATTCCTACTCCTAAAAGTGTCGAACTTGGAGTTAGCTTGCAACCGGGTCTTGGGCCTCCAGTAAACTTCAGCGAATGGTTTGCACCAAACGGCGCTCCCAAGCTAGAGTTCCTGAACTTAGAAGGGAACATCATAAAGACTATTGCCCATGATGCCTTTAAATTATTCCCTGTATTAACTTCGCTCAACCTGGCGTATAATCAGTTGGTAAGACTGCCACCACATGTACTACACACGTTAAGCAGTCTCCAAATACTCGACCTAAGTGGTAATAGATTAAGTGAATTGCCCTCAGAGCTATTCAAGAAAAACACACGCCTTCAAATTTTGAACCTCAACAGCAACTCCTTATTCAGTTTACCAGGTAATCTGTTTTATAGCGTTGAAAAGAGCCTTTTAGAGCTTCGGTTATCTGAAAATCATCTTCATAGTGTTTCTTGGATGGAAATTGGTCTCCGCCATCTTGTTGAACTCGATCTTTCCACAAATGCTCTGGCCGATGTTGGTAGTGCTGGCTTCACACATCTTGTCAGTTTACGGGGACTGTCCCTTCAAAATAATCAGTTTGGTGATATTCCAAATGTGCGGAATTTGACGCGACTTCAAGAGCTTCGCCTGTCAAACAACTCAATCAAGAGCATTTCATATGATGCATTCGATGGGAATGTGGCGTTAGAACTGATTGCAATTGACGACAACCTACTCGTGACCTTTGCCATGGAGCCTTTTGGGGGTCTACCGTCGCTGCAAACCGTCAAAGCCGGGGGGAACCCCATCAATTGCGACTGCAACGTCAAATGGCTGGGCAAATTCGACTACGATACTGCAAGTTACCATTATTATTACAACTATGATTATGCAGAAGAATTGGGTATACCTCACAGTACGTTCCTCACGCTTCAAGATTGGATAGCACCCATGAAGGAAGAAGTTATATGCGCCAGACCGAACCTGGTTAAGGGTCTAACCCTTCAATATGCTCTCTTTCAATTCTCCACTGATCTTATCTGTAGCCACTTTGCGAACCCCAGGAGCATCATGGTACTCATCCTTACGTGGTTTCTCATCATTATTGTCTTTCTCATTTTGTTCTGGGGTAGGACGTTCTGGATGGCCCGGAAGCAGTTCGGCAGCTCCAGGCCAAAAATTGCCAAGGAAAAACCCAAGGATGAGGACGCGTGTTACGTCATCTCCGCTGTATCTAAAAAGGCGGGAAATGGCCAGTATCATTTGCTACCGGATCAGAATGAAAATGAGCCTTTGGTATTCCTTTCAAACCATGAAGATGAATCGTGTAAATTGAGGACATTTGACAGGAACAATACAGAAATATTCATTGAAACCACCGTCTGAACTTAACCGATTTTTACAAATCTCAGATGACAATTTGTTCATCCCTTTTATTTGGGTGTAGACTTTCAGTGTCTATCCTCGCGTGTGTACGTTCATATCAATGTTGATGCGTGTATAATTATGCTCGGCAAACATTGTGACTAAAATATTTACCTTAAAAGGAGATGAAGAAAAAAATCGTTCTTTTAATATGTTCGCATCCTTACCCTCCTCTGATTCTTGTACCTTGGTTGTCATTGCAAGCAATAAGAATTAATTTACAAATGTGGGATTCATCCATTGCCCATGACATGTACATTTACATTTACGGTGATTCTAGGGAGAACGTTTGGTATCTAGTACGTAGTCAACGATCACAGATACATTCCAAAAGGGTGTTATACGCATACTTTATTAAAAACTGTGTCACTGATGAAGAGTCTTTTGGAATCCCTAAAGGGCAGTTTTGATTTTTTTTTTCCACCGTAGTTTAGTAACTGCATGATATCATCGGGTTGGTCGTGAATATTCATTTGGTCTTGTGGGTGATGGTCCTGTTTTGTCACCCCTTCTCCGGTCCGACACCAAGAAGTTACAACACCTTCATTTACAGTTTTTTTTTATATGCTTTAGACTGAATTGTGAAAATAACCCCCCCCCCCCGGTCCCTTGGCACGCGCCCTCTCTGTATACAAGCCTAATATCAAAGCAGAAAATTGAAGTAGGGACATCCCATTCGACCGACAGCGTTCCAGACCGACAATCGGTCTCGCAAATCAATAGGAAAGTTGTCAAAAGACCTACGAGACCGACATTGTCAGTCCAGTGGGCTCTTGGTCAATTGCGCTGCGACAGAAAGGAACATAGGAGCGTTGGACTACTGAAGGGTGACGGACCATAAGGGTATCGCAACACAGTGATGTCGAAATAGAGAGGTGAAACCAAGTCATTCGTGCACCTTCTTACTCCCTAGATGTTTATACCTCAGACAAACATCCTTATCGTGATTCATCACAAAAACAGTCATACAACAACTGAAAACTTTTGTTTATGATCGTCTTAAAGTCTCACTCGCGAGCTATTGGAAGAGGGGGGGGGGGGACGTGTGCCCCAATCGAATGGGAGAAAAATATGGGAAACGAGAGAAAGGAGAGAGTCCCCCACCCCCACCCGCCCTTCCGTCCCCTCCCGTTAATCGACGGCCCTGTTCGTCTGTGTCCACCCGTCCCTTCCCCTCTTTACACTCCGCCACTGAATATGTTAACATAAAACACAATTTCAATAATAATCAATACCATGCAGCAAAATAGACCGCATTTGCAAAACTCGTACACTATGCTCTATAATAAGCTACGGAAAACTGATACGCCATTTTAGTTGCTCTTCGTTTCACTTCATCCCCATTTCAATATTGCGGAATACTCTCCCGCGAAATCTAGCGGTCTGCATTATTATGAAAAAATAAACTGATCTAATGTTTCCGCGGAAAGTTTTTTCGAATTCATAGGCCTATCCGTCCATCTTTGCACATTCTCATCGATTGAACGGCGGCTCACGGGTGATTTAAACATTCCACTTTTATATCAAAGCTCAATATCCTTGATAATGTTTCTTTTTTAAAGTCCGTCTGCACCCTTCCCCATTAAAAGATGAAGCCAAGATGATGCTTTGTTTATAAGGGTATTTTCGGGGGAGAAGTGGGAAAATGGAACCTTTGGTGGGCTACTGCTTTCTATGTTAGAGCCGTCGAATAATTGCTCGCGTTATAGAAGTTCAAAGACCAAGCACATCGATCAAGAATAAATTTATGAAAAAGTTATTGACTGCATTGATATCATTTCTGAATGATTGGGTTCCCATCAAAGATCACTCTTATTTTTAAGTCGATATTTTTTTAAACACAAGTGATAATTTGTCCCTGTAATTATATTCCGAGCTTTATTTCATCATATATGTTTAGAATTTTGTTTGCGATTGAATAGAGCTGTTTAGGGTAAGGGAACAATGTGGGCTTCATATTCTATCTTAGAAATTGACCGTATTTTAATTGTTTTCACTTGACCATATCTTACAATTCCCTCGTTATCAGACACCTAATGTGTGTATTTAATTTTTTTATTTATTTATTTATTTATTTATTTATTTATTTATTTATTTATTTATTTATTATTATTTTTTATTTTTTATAATAATAAAATAATTAGAGGTACAGGGCATAGCCTTTTAAATTGAAGTATATTGGATACGTAAGCTGAGACAATAAGCTCTCACTTTGGAATTGGGTCTTATCTCTCAGTTGGAATTCCGTTTTACATAAGTTAAATCCGCGTCGTTGAGGGATATTGGGATCTGTTTGAACACCTGTGGGCGCTAGACCTATTAATCTCACAAGAAGATATATTGGATTTTTCTTGCCTGCAACTGTTTATACTCTTTTCTTGAAGATTTTCATTTTTAAGTAGTTCTATCTCTATTTTTAAATATTTCAACTTGTAAATTGAGTGATATGAATATGTCTTACAGGGTATGTTTTGATTTATAGCATCTGTATACCTGATTGATTATTTAGATATTTTGAAACACTATCATTGTACGCGCATTTACTATTTTAATCCATTTTTGGGACGTGGTATTTGTTGATCCCAAGCAAAATGCATTTCGTATATATATTTCAATGACAAATGCTTGTTGCTTCATCATTTAAAATGTTACATGTATTTGTTAAATTCGTTGCACAACCTCTGCTGTTTGTAAAGTCACTGAAATAAATACATGTCTTATCAGACTGATTTCACCATGAATAAAAATCACGAGCAAATATTTTCCAACATCGAGTTTGACGTTTCATTCAATCTGCGGTTATTCGTTACGGTGAAGGAATCATTAATTGTTCACACGATCGCAAAGACTCTCGAGAAATCAGCTCAAGGGCAATTTCATACCATTTAGAGTACCGAAGCTGTGACGCCATAAAAATCTATTTTTAGAATTTCTCAATTTTTTCCTCATTTTCCGAAAGAGCATACAAAATAATGTCCCAAAACAATTGAATATGTTATTATTGGCTGAGATATGACCATCTGAATAAATGTGTTTCCTATAGGAACTCAGTTTTATATGCTCCGAGTTCACATAGGGCATATATTTATTCAAGTGGTCATATCTCAGCCAATACTTCACATATTCAATTGGTTTTCAACATTTGGACATTATTTTTGATGCTCTTTCGGAAAATGAAGAAAAAATTGAGAATTCTAAAATTAGATTTTTGATGACGTCACACTTCACCACTCTATTGTACTCCGCCTTCAGATTACGTAATAAGTCACTGTAATGTTTCTACATTTCTAAAAGCAATGGAGAAGGCTATGGAAATTGACGTCGGATGAACTTTCGAAGGTTCTAGAGATCCCGTTTGATACAGGTCTACCTGAAATGTCTAAACTTCCTTGTAAGAAGTATTTAAAAGCCTTGATGTTCTGGGTTAAGAAAAAAAAGGGGTTAAGAAAAGAAAAAGGGGTGAAGAAGGGGCTGTGGAGTCTGGGGGAGGAGCACGAGTCTCATCTTTTTTTATGTGAGAAATAGGAGGTACGTCATTTACTTTTAACGTCTCTTCTCTTCCCCCATTTCTATACCCCTTTTCTCCCCCACCCCACCCTCTACCTCTCTCTTCCTACTCTCTGTCTCTTCCCCCATTCATGTATTAATTCTATTACCTTCTTGATATTTTTTCTTTCTCATCAGCCTTCCTTTTAATTTTCTTATCCAGCTCTTCTTTTTATCTTCTTCGCAATATATATACGCACACATCTACCCAATGCACTTTCCCATTTCATGCATTTCTCTCTCTCTCTCTCTCTCTGTCTTCCTCTTCATCCTACTCCCTCCCTACTCTCAGTCTCTTCCGTCTCTCTCTCTGTCCCTTCCCCTCTCTCTCTTTCTCTCTCACCCTCTCTGTAAATACATGTATTTTTTGCCTGGACCAAACATCTCTGTTTACCGTACTATAGTCAAGTCTGTACAGACAAAACTTTTCAACAGCTTTTCTACTTGCACTTTTATTCAGATGCATGATGGACAAAACCTTCACGGGTACTGATAAATAAATAATTCTTTATCAAAAGCTCTAAATATACATGGTTACAATCTTCAATGGAAATCCACAATATAAACTGATTATCAAACAATAAAAACATCAACATGAAATTCATGACATAGACTTCTAAGAAGCGTTGTATCCCAGTGAAATTCAGTATTCATATTTTATACATACTTAAATATACACCTAAATATACACAACTTTGCAGTCACGAAAACATGGAACAAAATAATACAATTGAAGAAAAAAAATAACCTGAAATAAGTTATTCACTAATGAAGATAATTTGTAGAAACAATAATGTTTTTTGGAATTCACAATATAAATAGAATACACACCATTGAAACAAAAGAAAGTTTGTATAATTTGCACTAAGATTGAAGACAGAAGTTCCTCTAGAAAATAATAGTGGCTGTATGGAATTAAGATGATCTGGTTAGTGGACAAAGTCAGTGTAGAAACAAATTATCTGCAAAGAATGTGTTGTACAACAGCACAGCCTCTAGAATAACTCCTACAATCGGACCAAATTTCTCTTGTACCAAAATAGGTTTCATACAGCCAAAATAATGTAATTCTTTATTATTTGTTGTCGGTGGTATTTTCAGTATCAAATGCAGCATCAAAATAAGTTGGTTGGTAACTGATAAACATGCACAAGATTAGCAAACTGTCCTGTTCCTAGTTAAATTATACTGATGCAAAACAAAACCTGTTACATACTTAGTTTCTTATCAATAATCATGTATATCATTCATCCATCTTTCAAAAGCTCTTCATTCTAAGCCCAGTCTAATAGAGTTGCATCTGATCTAGATAGGTCATAAGCGTCAAAATCAACAACAAGATATAATCACCTTATCTGTTACAGAATTGTTATTGATATCAAATGCAAGCTGAGTTGTGAGTGATAACTGCTAAAGATGTGATTCATTTAGAATCCTATCATGTGAGCTTTCCTGTTTTAAAGGGGCATGTTCCCCGTATTCCAGAGGGCGTTCAAAATATGTACGCGCTGGCGGACGGTGCTATAGCTGCCTATTGACACCAACGGAATACAGCTTTTACGCAGATGGCATGTTCCAATAACTACACTGGTGGGAACGTGCCCCTTTAAGTTTTCTTTGAATTTTTCTTAATAAACTGATCCCAGTGATCTTGGGAATTTGGCTCTCTTTTTTGATGAGTTTGAGTTTGAGCAAAAGTGTTGCTCCTCTTGCTTTTGCTATCCCTTTCCAAGATACCAAGGAATTTGGGCCTTCTGGGGGGTGTAACACAAAACTTGTCATTGGTGACAAATGACAGTTTTTGTTATAAGCTACCGAAATCCTCGCTTCTGATTGGTTGTCAGCAGATTTGTCACTGATTTTAGTCATTTGTCAATGAAAAAAGGCTTTGTGAAACAGGTCCCTAAAATATCTAGCTTCTGGGATGTTAAAGATATGTGTACATCGTGTATACTAGCTAAAATCCCATGGTTTGACTCTTCTTCTTCTTCAAAGATTTCTTCAGCCTGCTCGTGAGTTTGATCAAAGACATGTTCGGGACTGGACTTTGGTCTGGAGAGTCTGACCCAAGGTCCTGCTGCTCCTTGTTTGGCTGCTTCTGCTTTTGCTGTTGGGATCCTCTTGCAATGTCTGGAGAATGATCGTCCAAAGACGACAGTGACCTTGGGCTTTCAGGAGTGTCCAGCTGGCTTGGGATAGGAGGAGGAGGCAGATTCTCAGCATCTACCATCAACTCTCCTCTGGGTAGTACAACGTCCTGAACACCTGCCGACTGACCCTTTTTACCTCTGCTCGGCCTTATGCCGTCCGCTCTAGACATTGGTAACCTGTCCAGGACTAGGAGTGGTGTCTTTCTGGGTGACATGGTGTCCTGGACCTCCTGCCACATCCTGCGACGGATCCCATACTGCTCCAGTCTAGATGGAGTTTTCTCCGGTGCTTTGGCAATGGTTGGGGTGGGAATGCTGGTTTTTGCACTCTTCTCGAGACGTTTCACAGGACATTTCTTCTTTGTCTCTTTAATGAGCTTCCGGTATGTCTAAAAGAATGAACATTTTCAGAAGTGAGAAGGCTTCCCATACGCCTATACTTTGTCCAGTAACCACCTAATTTCCCCCCCCCCACTTTCTTTTTTAATTTTTGATTTATTACTACAATAATTTTAGAAATGAATTGTTCATTCTCATAATATTGTAATTTGTATCAAATAATTTCTTAAGGGAGTGCTTTGTTTGCAAGAGATGTAAAATGACATCCTCATCAACAATGTTCATACCAAAGTTTTGTTAAAATCTGTACGCGATCACAAGCTATTTATCCATACATAATGAGCCATGTGACCTTCGACCTTTTACCTCGTGGCCCCAAAATCTAATCACGTCATTAGCTCTGCAAGATACATACATGACCCAAGTTTGGCAGGAATCCATCAATTGGTTCTTGAGATAACGTGATCACGAGAACAGGACAAACGGACGGACAAACCGAAAAATTATGCTTCCGACTACTTCTTAACGGGGGTATAAAAATATATCGCTGTCTACATAGCACTTTGGCCTTACTTTCATAACAACATGTGCACATTTAATAACAAAAGACATATAAATTGGTGAGAACTTCTGATGCCCACCTTGTCCGTTGTGTCTTCATCTGCGTGCCATGTGTTCCATAGTCTCTTTCCCAGCTTACAGCATTCAGCATCACGCTTTGTTACACTCCTTACCTTAGACAGCGAAAGATAGTCTGCTTTGTTCTGTTTAAAAAGATAAAGGGCGAGTTCTGGTCATCCGATTGCATTGTGAAAGAAAAGGTGTGGAATGGATCAGAAAAAGTTGATCATGTAGCATGTAAGTATTGTGTGTACTGCAAAGTTCTGGAGTCATCAAAATCATAATAAATTTGGCCCTGTCTTGGTAAAGTAACAAGCACTGTACACAGAAAGATGTATATGGGACTACACAAATGGTGTCGGGGGCTACTAACCTTGATTTCCAATCTTTCTATGCTCATTACTCAGCCAGTATACATTTTCTACCAAAATTGTTTGGCAAATGACATTTATTTGTAATCTTGAACATTCAGTGCAATTTTCGTTTGATTCGGTGAGAATTATCATTATTTTTTTTTAACCAGAACTCACCTTTATCTTTAACGTGCACAAGTTAAAAGTGATATTGAGTTCTAGTGATAAAAGAAAATAAATTCTCACACAATCGACTGCAACTTACGTTACATCTGCAAGACTACTAATTAAGGATATAGGTATGCAAAATGAGTTTTGTTTGGGTATATGACAGTGCATTACTGACTACTGAGTGGGTTTTTACACTGAGACGTGTATCAGATATGATTATTTACGTTTGGGAACCAACCTTTAACGTCACCATCCGAATAAACTCTTGTTTTATATAACATTAGAATTGATTTTTAAAAAACATATTTTCCAAAGTTAAACAGCACCTAATAAAAGACCAGACATGAATGTTTACCCTTGGTAGAGTAAAAACAGCCCTTGGAAAGACGTCCGCGAGGGAGCTTGACTGGTCTGCTGTCAATCCACACTGTGTGCAAGCATAGTTTCCTGTTCGTCTCGTAGCATCTCCAGGCTGGCATACGCAACAACCCTCAGACTTGTCCACCATATGTCTAGCTATTTCTGTGATAAAGAGAAAAAGGTAAGAAACCTAAATCTAAAGAGACTGGGGGCATTTCACAAAGATTAAGATCAACGTTAGTTGGACTTCAACTATGTCAGGTCATTTATGCCACTGGTTGCTGGTCTTTCAAGGGACGTCACAAATCTATAGAATTTACATTTTTGATAGTTCATTGTTGAAGAAAGAAAGTTACTTACATTATAAACTTAAGATATATTTAAGACTTGGACTTATACTACAGTATGCCATTGATGCCCTAAAAAAAGTCTTGAACCAGATGTAATATTAGAGGGAAAGAACCTTAGAAATTATAATCTGTAGATAAAAAAAATTCCTTCAATAATGAATTATCAAAAAAAGGAAATTCTGTAGATAAGTGACGATTTATACGTCCCTTGAGTAACAAATACCAGAAATGGTTAGAGAAACTAGAACGGCCTGCCATAGTTCAAGTCCAACTTAAGTTGATCTTAGTCTTTGTGAAACATCCCCCTGAAATGGAAGATATCTTCTGTTATGAGCTAGAAGGGTATATATCTTTGTGTTAAATTATATGAGCTAATGCCTTTCTCCCTCCAAACAGAAAGAAACAAATCTCCTTGTCATTTTCAGTGAACATGTAGGCCTATAAATAGGTGTTGTGCAAACATTCTGACATTTGACAAAACGGAATTGTATTCAAATCTTCATTTTTAGCCAATAAGGGAGTTTACAGATAGCACATGGTACAAATGACCCCAAATATCCACAGATCTTTTACACATGGAGAAGTTCCACTTTGAGCATCTTAGAATAATAACTGCCAAAGTCCTAGATGTGCTTCATGAATACCTTTTGTTTCCCCTCTTGAAAAGAATACTTCCACCTGCGTATCATAGAATGTACCGTTGGTGCATAAATGAATAATGTTACATAACTTTCATGAGTGCATATCCAGTATTCATCTCTGTGGGTTTTACCTTTTTGGTACAAATGACCTTTATCTGCCCATGCGCAGATTGTATCTGTAAACTCCCTTATTACACTCAACATGTTGAGAGAGTTCAATATTCAACTTAAAGAGAAGGTTGAGTTCTGGGAAGAGGTAAAAAATAATTTGTGAGCGTTATCATTGTTATTATGCAAGGGTGGAAGAACATCAGATTAAACATGTTCCCTGAAAAGCATGGCTCTTCAAATGCCTTTATATTCTAAATATGACATGAAACATCGTAAAAATCGGGGGATAGGTTTTTTTCGCCATGTGCTTGTGTAGTCCCATATACATTATTCTGTGTACAGTGCTTGTAATTTTGCCGAGATTTGGCCAAATTTCTTATCATTTTGATGATTCCAGAACCTTGCAATACACACAAATTCTTATATACTAGATGATCAACCTTTTCTGGTCGATTCCACACCGTTTCTTTGACAATGCAATCAAATGACCAGAACTCAACTTCATCTTTAATCTAGCCTATGAAGAGAATTGGACAATTACAAATCCTGATCAATCATCTTTGCATTACCTTTCAAAACCTTCTTGGTCTTTAACTTCTTGACAGTGATGTCACACTCTTCCCTGCTTTCACTTGACATGATGACCCTTTCTATGAAATCCCTACATTTCCTCTCGCAAGGCTCACTCAGCGTGTCTTGATCCATGGACTCCACAAACTCCTCGTCATTGTTTACTTTCAGTACCTGCTGGTAGATGTCTCCAACTTCAGATATCTGAAAGTAATAACAATGTTTATCAGCATTTGAAGACATAATAGGGTGCGTATTTCGGGTCGTGCCACTAGATATGTACATTTCGAACCCCACTATCGAACCCCACTATACAAATGTGATTTTCGGGATGTCGCGTTTATCGTCTCTTCACGATTCAAAATAAAGGCCATGTCTCTGCGCAGCTGCTTTGCGCTGTTTGACCCGGGAAGCAGAGAGTTGCTCGGAGGTCAACTAGGGCATAGCACATGGTGCGCACTATTTCGCTGAACCGGAAATTAGCCAGGAAGGTCCGATTTATATGTGGGGTTCAAAACAGCTTTGCGTTTATCACGTCTCAGAATCGTGATTCTAGCTGTATGTCACATTCAAAACACACCTTTTTGCGTCTTAAGATATGCCCATATCTAAGGACATTTAAAAAAATGTGCCTGAAAGACGTTTGAGAAACCTGATTCTAGGCAAAAATTTGGTCAATAAACGCACCCTTAGTTGCATATTACTCATTTGATACTCGATACTTGATGGGGGTAATAAGTTTGGCGTTATCTTCACTATACATCTGAGGGTCAATGTCATTAAAGAGAGGTTTTCACCAGAAAATATATCCACTTGGTGGTTAGTATTTTAAGAATTTAAATCTGCGTTATACAGAGCTGCCAACCTTGTGCGACCAAAAAAAAGAATCATGATGGCAAAAAAAAGGAATTTCAAGCCAAAAAGTGGAATTCATAAAAAGAAACTTACAACCACGCGCGACACACTTCCAATGCAGAAATGTTCATTCATCATGCTGTTTTTTCCATACAAGCAGGTAATTTTTTTTGTGGTTATTTTGGTATTATCAGCATTTATTTTCTTTTGAGAATATTTTTCTCTCCAAGTATGTTTTAAAATAAGTTTTCTATTGAATTCGTGATCAAATCACCATTTAAGGGCAGTTGTTTGACGTGTGGTATGTAAAAAAATAAAATAAATAAATAAATAAATTAATTAATTAATTAAAAAAAAAAAAAAAAATTATTAAAAAACGCATTTTATGAAGAAAAAACGTAGTACCGTAATTTGGAGGAAAAACGGAGTAATTCCGGCAAAAACGGAATGGTTGGCAGCTCTGGTTATATATTGAATGTCACAGAGTAATGAAATGCGAAGGTTCACAGAGATGTGCCCAGAACATGAATTTCATAATTCTTTGTTCAGGGCATCAAAAAATTATAATTCACATAATCTGAATGACAGTTTGGGTATTATTAAGTTAGCCAACATGCTGTTAAAATGATTGTGCCTAAGCAATACATATTATGATGTTAAATAATTATCACACCATCTAAACTGCATTCTTGTTGTTTCTTCAGAAACGAATAAATTTTTGCAATGCTGCCTTTAAGCCTGTCTGCACTACTTGTAGCTACTTGCGCCCTCTATATAGCCATCAATGCCTTAGCGGTACCCGTTGATCCCCCATGATCCCCTTTTGCTTATGTTAATTGAGAGCTGATTTGACAAGATAACCACCTGTCAGTGACCACGCAGGGAGGTCTAATCCCTCCCGGCCAAACTAGTGCAGAAAGGCTTTAAATGAATGGCATTTAGCTATTAATGAAGCTAGACAAGAATACTCACCTGAAATACTGTGATTGTTTGTTGTTGGTCCTGCTCCAGCTTAGCTGCACACATACCTACGAGAGGTCGGGAGATTCTCTCTCTCACCAGCTCCTCATCTTGACTAGGAACCACCGACATCAAATCTAACCAGGCACTGGAATAGATAAACGATGCCATTTACAGTGAAACCTCAATATCAAGACTGTTCAAAGGAAATTGGGGCTCTGTCTGTTGCATAAAACTTACCAGTGATGGTAACTTTGCCATGGTAACACACTATGAACATGACTGACAAAGAAAGCGGACAAAATATACAGTTCCTCAGGTAGACAAAGGAACTTCCCTTCACTGCTATTATGTAAAAATGTGTAGAACAGGTATCACATGCATATTCACCTTTTTACATAATAGCAGTGAAGGGATGTTCCTTTGTCTACCTGGGGAACTGTATATTTTGTCCATTTTCTTTGTCCGTGATGTTCATAGTGACATCACCCAACAGCTCATCCATGGAAGTCAATATCAATGATAACGTTACGATCAATGCTAAGTTACGATCAATGCTAAGTTTTATGCAGCAGGGAGAAGATGAGAAGCCATTAGGCCTAAAAAAAAAAAAAGTTGTATGGCCCTTTGCGACCGACCCAAAAATCCTGAAATCTATGGTCGGCTTTTTACGATTTTTTAGAAGAAAAAATATGTATTAAAGCTTTCAAAACTAAGAAATATTAGCCCAAGGAGGGAGCAAAAAAAAAAAACCCTAACGGGCAATACATCTTTTTTTTTGTTTAGGCCTTATAAGCAGGTGGTCTGCAAATACATGATATCACATACATTATACAATGCAATACTATATGGAACACTCTCAGTAAAGAGAAACAACCCATACACAAATCAACAATAATCTTCATTTATAGTCTCAAAAATAATTGTATGCCAAATTTATGCAAAAACTCATTGTGTTATAAAGGCAACCATGGAAACACAACATTACAACATCATCACAATAATACAAACATTTATAATAATAATAATAATAATAATAATAGCCTATTAGTCCACTCCAAATTTTATTAAACCGAAACGGAAATTCTTTTTGCCCAATTGATCGTGAGCCTGGCAGCCACTGAGCAGCGCCAGATCGACGTTGCTCTATCCCTGATTGTTGAACGTCAACCAAGGTAGCAGCAACTCCCATCTTTTAACGTCTTTTGGTATGACGCGGCCGGGTTTCGAACCCACGACCTCCCGGTTGTGAGGCGGACGCTCTACTGACTGAGCCAACACTCTGGTGAGTTATAACCAGAGTCATAGACTTTTCCTAGAAAGCCTAGAATCAATCTGGATGTAGCAGATATTAATGCATGATTTTCTTCAAAGTGAAGATTGAATAAACGTTTGAAAGAGAAAAATTAAATTTTTGTTTGCCTTACTTGCTATCCTGAATTTTCCATGGGGCTCTGGTTGAAGACGGCGCTTGCCCATTTAAACCTAGATACAGTAAGCAAAATGAGAAGAGAGCTATGACACATGCCATTAAGCAACTTGGAATCAATCACAACTGTGTACTTAAGAGATAGGAGTTGTGAATAATTTCAAGTTGAGATTGATTCAAAGAAATCACAACTTTTTTATAAGACAAAGGCCTTGGGCCAATATGTTCTGTATAATATAAAGCCTGGAAAATAAATCTTAAAACAAAGAAGTTACAGTGCCTGAAATGGCTGAAAGCCTGAAAGCTTAAACCTCATATGTTCTCTAAAATATAACGCCTGAAGAAGCATGAAACAAAGTGGCAATAGGGCTTGGAGGTGCCCTTAACCCATTGCTTACTGAAACCTAGTGGTCCCTGTGTTAAGCCAACAACAAGTAGAGAATTTGGTAGCCAACAGGTTAAAACAGACATCCCTGAATCTTACTTGAGGATTGGAAGCAGTGCACCTCCCTTGAAGAGTAGCTAGCAGCCAGGAGAAGGTCATCAGAGGTCGTCAGGGAAGGTGATGAGATGGAGGGAGTGATGTGGAGGCAGGTGGGTGGAGTAGAGAGAAGGTGGGGCCACTGGAGGACCTATCGTTGCAATGAAAGAGAAATGAAGATGATCATTATAACAAACAAACTAAAACAGGAAAAACTTAATACCACTCAAATGGGTATTGCAGAGATGCTAACCCTATGGGATGGCTGTCAGTAACATTTACCACATTTGTCCGAAACAAATGGGGGTCTTTCCGTAATGCAAGACACCGCAGCATAATACTATTGTACAAATATTAATACACCAACTCTTAAATTCACTTCAAACATACAAATTGCCAAATTCTGGTGAGCTGTCAGAACCCAACTGTATTTACACAAGGTACCTCATCAAATATATAAGACCTTCAAAGAAACCATTACCAATTGTTACCTAGTCATGTACTAAGACAAGATGTGCTTTATTAATCCACAGCTCATTTACACTGCAATGAAGTCTACCTATGTGTTATGTACCTGTAACAAGACTTTTTCATGACATACCTATACTGCATACATGTATATATGATTGAGATTGAGGCTGAACACCATGCATAAAATCCACCTTATCATTATCATGGAAGATTCAACAATGCGATCAGCAAATCATATTTAGTTCGGTATACTGTGATATCATCAGGACTCAAATCATTTTTTTTGTCCATGAAGGCTCTTCCACAAAAAAGCTCACGGTGGCTCTTTTAGTACTGACGGGGGCTCTTTTTTAATAAAAATTTCCATTGAATTGGTACCCATGATACTCCTAAATTCTTTGCTATTGCATTATTATTATTTATTTAGGTCAGCATTTTCCCTCTTACAACTTTACAAGTAACATGCAGCTAATGGTCAGATCTCCTCCCTCTGTACGAAATGTCTGGTCCAAGCCCATACAGTTGCTCCTTGCCAACAGGTTTCCTTTTACTAATTTTAGTTTTCGGTTGATGTACTGGTCGAGGTTCATTATTTGCTGGTCTTTTGGAATGACCAGATTTGAGAGGATTCACGCTTTTCACAACAAAAAACTTCTTTATGTTTATGTCCTTGCGCGATTGCCTCTAGTTTTAGTAGATAATGGGGCGATAGCGTGCACACCGGGACTTCTGGCGCAGCTTGTATAACCACTGCTGACAGCCACACTGTTCTGCGAGCTTCCGTTGTTTGTATCGGTAATACTCATAGATGTGGAGATGGGAGACCTTACATATTTTATATGATACAGGAAGATCTTGCCGCGAATAAGCGTATAAATTTAGTTAAAATATGGTGGCCTCTAGACACCGAAAAATTCAAGCGAGAAATCCTGCACGCTAAGCTAACTTGCACTGTTCCATTTCATTGGTTTAAGGTTTGAAAGTTGAAACTCAAAATTGTGTGAAAGTTATAACAGAAAAGCTAATTTTTATTTTACAATTCCACAAGGGCATTTTTAATTATGCAATCGCCCATCGCCCTTGTGTATTTTGAGCCTTGGATATCATGCAACAATGGATTTATCTATCTCAATCCTATAGAATTCATAACCTGATGACATAAAAAAACAGCCCATCGCTAGCCTTTTTCAAAAGCAAATATAAACAATGCCTTTTGAAATGCTAAAATATGTTGATTTTTTGTTAACGTTACTACCCCACCTGAAGTATTTACGCCCAACTATTCTTTGTGTACCGGTATATGTTTCCTCCACACAGACCGCCTGTTTCCCTTTTCTTGTGTACTTAACTAAGTTTTGTACCTAACTATATATATTTAATTTATTCCTGGAGACTAGCCTTTGATAGGTCAATGGCCTCTGTTGGATCCACCACAGTCTCAGGTATTAATTCTAGACGCTCTAAATTCTTTAAATATCGTAGTGCTATTTTCTTGTTTTGTGTTAATCGGATATTCTATGTGAATTGTAATATTTTTTTTATGAGAAGTGGAAATAAATGAATTAAAATGAAATGAAATCCTACCGAATGCTGTGGAAATCTTTCATCCATGAGGAATAGATAATGCTGAGTGGCAAGACAATGATAGAATGGGTTGCTAGGGTGTTGCCTAGCAACGCAGAAGTACTGATCCCCTGGTAGGCAGCTGCTTCGTAGTTGAAAGAGAGGAATCTTTTGGTCTTCCGTTAGGTTGGGTAACTTGAAAGTAAATAGACAGCGACAAACATTAAAATCTGATCAAGAAAATTGAATGCATTCCTCACAATATATCAACATTATTTCATGCACAAATGTATATATCATTTACATGGCAGTACTGATATTCATAGAAAAAAATTTATATCTTAATCTTATATCTTCACATCTTTTTGGTCTATGTTCCTCTCAATTAATTGTTAGAAATCAAAACAAAAATGAATGTACTTAAAGATAAAGTTGAGTTCCGGTCATGCAATCATTGCATTGTGAAGGAAAAGGCGTGGAATGGATCAGAAAAAGTTGATCATGTAGCATGTAAGTATTGGTGTGTACTGCAAGGTTCTAGAGTCATCAAAATGATAAGAAATTTGGCCAAGTCGTGGTAAAGTAACAACCACTGTACACAGAAAGATGTATATGGGACTACACAAATGGTGTCGGCCTACTTACCTTGATTTCCTTATCTTTCTATGCTCATTACTCAGCCAGTATACATTTTCTACCAAAATTGTTTGGCAAATGACATTTCTTTGTAATCTTGAACATTCAGTGTAAGTTTCTCTTGATTCTGTGAGAACCCATTTTTTTTTTTTTTACCAGAACTCAAGTTTATCTTTAACATATAGCATAACTATAACATATAGTGATTACAACTTTCAAATATTCAGAACTTCCTCAATATTTGTCCAAGTCTAGATTTTATTCAGACTTTGGTCAGTCTGTTTCTCTGATTTTCTGCTCTCTTATAGAGTAGTCGTCTATTAATGTTGGATTTTCCTTCAAAGGTTTCTTACCCTAAAATCAACCTGATACGCTTGGTCTTTAGTGTGGGCAAAGGCAAGACAAGGGTGAGCGGTGAAGTGTGCGTACGCCGGCGTATGCTCCCTCGAGGGTGACATAGAGACCCTGAAAAAAATTCAAACTATTAATGAAAGGAACTTCACAACTCATTATGGTTCTCTAGGGCCGGCAGTCAAATAAAAAGAGATGTCGTAGTCGAATGGTTTGAGAACCTGACTGGAAATGCAAAGGTCACAGGTTCGATCTCCGGCACGGCTCTAGTTTTCTTTGGCAAAACATTAATCTACATTTTTAAAGGTAAAGACCAGTATTGGAAACGCCCCAATTTCAAAAAATGAAATGGAAGCTCTCATTACCAATCATGTGAAAGAATATGTTTTGACTAATACATGATGATAAAAAATTTGCCGGGAAACCGCCTTCTAATTCATATATTTGGTAAATTTGTTTCTCTCATGGTCTGTGAGAGATATAGGGTAGTCCCATATACATCTTTCTGTGTATAGTGCTTGTAACTTTACGAAGAATGGGCCAAATTTCTTATCATTTTGATGATTCCAGAACCTTGCAGATGCTAGATGCTAGATGATCAACCATTTCTGATCGATTCCACAACGTTTCTTTCACAATGCAATCGCATGACCATAACTGGTCTTTACCTTTAAAGTTTGAACAGGGTAGAAATAGAGACATGGTAGTATAACTGCTATATGTCCTCAAGGTGACCATATGATAGGAATACTCCCCAGAGAGTAGAAACAGTGAACACTGAATGAATCCGATGACTGGGGTAAAAGTGCTTAGAGAAGGTAATACATATTAAGCAGTAAATAAATCCAGATTTATTATTTTCATCACGAAACAGAATTAGAAATCAAGTTTGGCTTTTGGTAATCAGAAATGACTCACTAAATGTTGAACATAATATGACATTCAACTCAATGACTCCACCTAGGAGTAATAATGCATTGATTTCATAACATGATAGCTCCATTAACACAAAAAAATGTTACTCACTTTTTTTTCTGGTCTATGTGACTGACTTGTCCTCTTTCATTTGTAAACAAGAATTCCCCTTCTAAATGAGGGCTGCAAAAGAAAAATTGGAAATCAGAAAAAGAAGGCATTGTAGACTGGGATAATAACAGTACCTTTTACCTGCAGAGTGCATTTTTTCTTCTTCTCCAAATCAACTATTGACCAGTGCAATTCATAATATCTTCAATTACCTGATCATGATTATTTATCAGGTCTACAGTTAGTATAAGCCCAATATGCACACATGTATAAGTTTATTGGGTACTGGCAATTTGATTCAAAATAACTTCTTCCCACATCTTTACAACAATCACCAGCAAGTTTCTTTATGGAAAGGAGCGGCAATGCAAACAAGCATCATGCCCCCCCTACCCCACAAGGGGGAAATATATTTCAATTCTGTTAAAGGGGATGGGTGCAAATGTATTCCTTATAGAAGGCATCAAAGTTATAGAGATGAACCAAAATTCAAGTGCTATGGTTTGACATATTGTAGTGTCTCAATAACATGAGAAAAGTGTCTTTCAAGGACAGAACCAGTATACCTCTATTATATACACCAACATAAAATGTGGGGGGGGGGGGGGGAACTGTCCCATCTTCATCTCCCTGTCTCTTGTTTACGACTCTGATAGTCCAGAAAACCTTGCATTCTAATACCCCTAAATAAAGGGTTTGTTCACATATGTCACAGTAAACCACAGCAGGATACCAAAGCAGTTTTTTAAATGTACTAAATGAATAACAAGTGGAGATGAAAAAAGTAGCCTCGCACCGCAATGGTCCTACGGGTTCTCACTTATCCGTCAAATATGAGCGCTATGAGATACACACACATCAAGTGCTCATAGTATGCTGAAGAACGTCCAAATATCTTGTGGTAAGCGCCGAGTGTGAACAAGCCTCATAATAGGACGTACCTGAGAGATATTGAAGTTATTCTGTACTGTGACGTCACGTCATGTATGAGCTTGCATTTCAGGCTCTCTTTCCTCTTACATCTCACAACGTAAGCGTGGTAGTCTGTCCTGATGCCAGCGTAAATCTCTTCTATCTCAGAATACAGTGAGAGAGAGAGAGGGGGGGGGGGGGGGTGTGAGAGAGAGAGAGAGGGTAAGAGAGAGAGAGAGAGAGAGGGTGAGAGAGAGAGAAAGAGAGAGAGAGGGTGGGTGAGAGAGGGTGGGTGAAAGAAAGAGGGAGGGATGGAGGGAGGGAAGGGAAGGAGGGAGGGAGGGAGGGAGGGAGGAAGGGAGAGAAGGATAAAGAGAGTGACAGAGAGTGGATGATAGAGATAGAGTGAGAGTGAGAGAGACATACAAAGAGATAGAGTGAGAATTATAAACAAATGGTTACATGTAGAATGACAGCATTTGTCGATAAAAAATGGAAATAAGAGAACAAAAATGGTATAAAGTATAAAGACACATTCATTTCAATGTTTACAACCAGCCTGCCCATGTATTGTTATTATCAATTAATTAGTTACTTAACAGTTTTCCTTTTTTTTTTTAAACAGGAGCTGAATTGGCATGATCAGATTTAATCTAAATTTCACACATTTTGGGGTCTAAAATTGCCTTCATAGCAATTTTAGGTCATAAAAGGGCACTAGAAATGTCATAAATAAAAATAAGAGCAATTTGTCATTAAAAAAATAATCAAACAACTTTATTATATAGTGTTTACTCTGTTTGTGCACTTTGAAGGCAATTGCGGTCTTAAACAAGAACTCAAGCATTTTATATTGCTTCAAACAATCCCCAAAACATCAATTTTGCACAAACAGAGTAAACACTGTATAATAAAATTGTTAGATTTTTGTTTTAATGACATCACAAACAGATAACTTTACATCTAGAGTCCAACGAGGAACGTAAAATGAGTGCTAGTCTCATTACTAAACTCACTTTTCAAAGACAATCTATGGGTTTCTATTTGCCTTATACAGCCTGCCACAGAGATCTGATGTTTCAAAGATGTTGACGGCTTGAAGCAAGGAACAGATTCAGATTCCAAAACATGAATATCTGATGATAAGGATTCTGCGGTTATGGAAACAATTATTAATAGGGTATGTCGAGTTCTTGCTCATAGTGTCGTAAAATAAAGAATGGTAATTGTGTTGGTTAACTTTTGTTTTTTTACATATTTACGATAAAACGGTGGAAGCTCCCTAAAAAAACTTTTTAAATGAAGGAAATTACCTTGTTAAATTTGAACCTTGTTTTATCTGGGCTCAAAAACCATAGACTGCACAAAGTAGAACTTGCAAAACTACTGAAAGCTTGTTATAACAGTATCATTTGTAACAGAGTTACATTGTCTGTACTAAACTGCACTTGGTTGTAACCTGCATCCTGGGGCTAATGGGCAATATATATATATATATATATATATGTTTATAATTCAAACTTGAAAATATGGATAAAAAACAGGTTGAACTGGAGCCTAAAATTACTGGAGATTAAATCAGAGCTAACACACTTCACAGCTAATGAACCAAAGTCAGTATGATGTTGATAAAACAAAGACTTGAACCCATTAGTATTAAAGCTGTGACACACAAATACAATATCTTCTCCAGAAGGTTACTCATCTTGGACAGTTCTATCTTATGGTATCTTCAAACTGAAAATTTCCCTGTGCACAAAAAAAGGATACTGAGTGTATCTAGTGCTTGTCCACTGGGATGAAACAATAGTCCACTGCCGCCCTCTGTAGTCGATGACTTGAAAGGTTCGTAAGATAAACAGCCTCCGTAATATAACTCATTGTGATACTGAAAGAGAAAAACAAGGTAAAAAAGTGAGAAATAATTTTCACAAGTCTTTTCTAAATATGTAACTAGATGGAACTTCGACTGCGCGCAGTCGAAAATGATGCCTCCGTCATAGAGCAAGTTTACAAACCAAAGCAGAAGAAATTTTTCAAATTCAAGTTTCATTGTAATCCATTAACAGGTTCTCAGAATATCGTGATTACAAGCAATTTCTCATATACATATATGACCCTTTGATCTTTGACCTCATGACCCTAAAATCTACTCAGTTCATTGGCTCTGCAAGATGTCCTGAGTTAAATAGTAATCCATCTGTCAGTTCACAAGCTATTTTTGCATACATAATGAGCCCATGACATTTGACCTTTGACCTCATGACCCAAGAATCTACTCAGTTCATTGGCTCTGCAAGATACATACAAGATCTAAGTTTGGCAGGAATCCATCCATCGGTTCTTGAGATTTAACGCGATCAGGAGCTGTTTTTGCATACATAATGAGCCCTGTGACCTTTGACCTCGTGACCCCAAAATCTAATCAGTTCATCGTCTCTGCAAGATACATACATGACCAAAGTTTGGCAGGAATCCATCAATCGGTTCTTGAGATAATGCGAGCACAAGCTGTTTTTGCATAAATAATGAGCCCTGTGACCTTTAACCTTTGACCTTGTGACCTCAAAATCTAATCAGTTCATTAGCTCTGCAAGATACATACATGACCAAAGTTTGGCAGGAATCCATCATTCGGTTCTTCAGATAACGCGATCACGAGAACGGGACGTACGGACGTACAGACGGACGGACGTATGGACGGACGGACGGACAACCCAAAAACATAATGCCTCCGGCTACTTCGTAACAGGGGCATAAAAAGGAACAATAAGACACTTTTTTATTCTTTTACTTTTATTGCATAGATTTTTTTGTTTTGGTATTTCACTTTTGATTGATCCTTTTCATTTTGGGAACTGGTTTTTCGGACACCCCTTTTTTAATACAAGAACAAAAACAACAAATCATGAGATGAACATTTTGTTGAATGAGAGTTCAGAGAAAGGTTAAAATAGCTCACCATTCTTTCAATTTGCTGATGGGTTTCCTCTCTGAGTAACCCCTGCAACAGCGAACGCTGAACTCCTACAGAAGATACCGCATCGATGATGGACTTGTTCTTTCTTAGGAGGCTTTGGCAGTATTTGGTGGTTGGTACATGCTGACAAGGAATATATAAGAATAGAAAATGTACACATTGCAACATTTTTACTCACTTGATTTGTTTTCTTTCCTTCTTCCATCTTACTTTAAAGTTTAAACTTCTGTTTCATAAAATGCAATCTACATGTACCTGAATAATTTATATCCCCATGACAGGAAAGCACTTCATAAATTAAAAACAGACAACTGCAACACCTTTGGAGGCGCGATAGCTCAGTCGGTAGAGCTGTGGTCTCGTAATCCAGTGACCCGGGTTCGAAACCAAGTCGATGCACTAGTGCCCTTTGGTAAGGCATTAATCCCCATTACCAGGTCCCTCAGAGAGAACCTTAAGCCGTCAGTCTTCTGGTTGCTTACTATCGAGCATTTATTGCTTTCTTAGCTGTCAGGTAAATAACCCCCACCACCACCACCACCACTCCTACATTACTACAATTTACTTTGCTGGTTTCAACCAATGTAGGCCATGAATATCATTTGATTAGTATACAGCACCTGGATTTTGTTTCATCATTTTTATTCTTCTTTTACATTCACCTGCCCATCCCTACTTTTTATTTAAACTAATGATTTCTCATATCTGAAGTTAGCTCACAATACTAAGAGGAAACATGAGATTTTTTTTAAAGAGCAAAAATATTCTCTACTAGATCACCCAACATGATTTTAATAAAGAGCAAGAATTTGATTGCAAAAGAGAATACCATGAATCCAGAGACTCACTAGTTTTTTAATCTGCTTCCATTCATCATTGGACAATACATCATAGACAGGTCCAAATCCCAAGTCAGGATTGCTTGCATACAATTGTTCAACCTGTGGAAAAGAAAGAATAATTTCATTTCATGTTTTTTTAAACAATTTATAGATTTTAAAAATAATTCACAGCTGAATGGCTGAATTGTAGATTTTCTTTGAAATTTAAATAGATAAAATGGATATGTTAAAGGGAGTGTATCACGGGAAATACTGGTTAACGCTATCTACGTCTTCATTTTGGACAACTGCATGTAAACAAATGGACTAGATTAATTAGGTCTCCGGGCGCTAGCGTTTGGGAAACAGACCGAAGTTCTCCTCACGCTTCGGTTTTGCGTATGTTGCACACATGAATGCTGCGGTTGCTTCGTCCGTAGTCGTATTATACCCGATTGGCCCAGAGTAGGCCCACGAGAAAGACACATAGTCTCGTCATGATACACTCCCTTTCATTGATGATATAATATTTATATTCATGAAAATACTTCATTCGAAGTTTACATCAGGGTTGAAAAATGACATAATCTAGGCATGGACCTGATCTAGGGTATCAATAAAAGCTTATCATGATAAAGATGCATTTATTAGTCCTTAGGGTAACAACAGGCATATCAACAGGGTGTGATCAAATAATAAAAAATAAGAAGGAAAAATAATTTGTGTATAGCTAGAATGTATCAAATCAATCTCCAAAAAGTTTTCCTGGCATTCTACGGATTAACCATTTATGAGTATGAAGAATAGTCAATATAAAGGATATTATAAAACCCTGCACTCATAACCAAAGTCCGACTTGGGCTACGAGAGCACACACAGGTGATGACGAGTCTACCTAACAAGTCATTTTTTTATACCTGGTACTCTGACATGTATTTAAGCTGCCATATCTCTATGTAGACATAATACATGTATGTGAAGCTCGAAATTGGAATATGAACATCTTTGTCTTGATGGTAAAGTGTTCCATATTTCAATTATAGAACTCCTACATGTATGTAATACATCAAGAGCAAAATATGCTGTGGTAATTGATACACTGTAACTATACTAATCACATTATACTGAAATACTTAATGAAGTCAGTTACATATTAGAAAAAAATGGCTTGGACGTGCCCATAGCATGCACTTTGATAAGGTAAGATGACCAACCTGTTGCTCAATGTTCATACCAAGGCGTTTCTTCATTGTTCCTCTCCTGACATAATCTTCATAATGAACAACACCGACAGGTGAACCTGGAATGAGCATAGGATATGTACCAGGATTACTTGAGAATTAACTAAAAATTCTATTAAAGCCCCAGTGCACTACTTGCAGCTACTTGCTCCCTCTATATATATAAAACAATGGCTAAGTGGTGCCTGTTGGTCCCCCATGATCCTCCTTTTCTTATGTTAATTGAGAGTTGAGTTGATGAGATAACCACCTGTCAGTGACCACACTGGGTGGACTAATCACCCCTGGCCAAACTAGTACAGATGGGATTTACAACAAAACAATAGGTTCTATGAATTATGGGAAAAAGTGGTGACTGAGATATATAATAAAAACTCACACCAATCTCCTAAAATTAAAGTATTCATAAAGTAGTTGTAACATTATTTAAAATTGATTATAGTCAGACAATGTATAACAATGTCAGTGCATGTTGTTGCGTTGCATTAGTGTGGAAGCGTGTTTGATAAACAAGTACAAATTAATTTCATTGAAACAAGAGTGCATTTTGAATAAGAGACTGAATTTCAATATTTGAGCCCTTTGAAAAGCAAAATATTATACGAACCATCATTTGGTGGCAAGAAAGGCACGCAAGCTCCTGCAGGTACGAGATTCTGTGCAGCTTCCTTGGTGATGTTATACTGAAAGTATTTCTGAAGAGAACCATCCTCTCCTCGTCTGATGTCACATGCATGGGCACAACCAAATGCTTCAAACGGATCACAGCCTTCGCTACCGAGAGGAACGATGGCTGGATAATGTGGTGAAGGGAACGCAGACATAGTCATTTCAATATTTCTTGGGTAACATCAGACTGCTTCATCTATCCAAAGATATGAGGAACAAAAGAAAAGATAAGTGTAACATCCCTATAGAAAGTTAATTTGCATGCAAACATACATCCTCATGTATGTGTTTGTATGAGCAAAAAACTAACTCAAATACAAAAAAAAGAAAGAGATAAGAATACCCAATCAATAGGTTTTATGAACTTGAACAATCAAGGCAGGGTAAGTGTTCAGGTAAAGTTAAGGGCTAGAATCAGCTAGCCTTCAGGGCTAGGTGATGATATGAAGTGTGATGAAGAGTAAATAAACAAAACCTAAAATGTGTTTGTAATCACCACTTTTTAACAAACCTTGCACACTGGCTTAAAAGTTTGCTAGTGGACTTTTCTTTCTTCTCATACAAAGCACTTTGAAATCAGACAAGAATTTGCCCCAAAATGTGAAAAATTTGATACCAGAGTGGAAGCCACTTTAGGAAAATGAGGCTGAGATCAGATGAACGTAATGCGCATGGGCAAAATGTAAGCTAAACTTTGCGCATTGAGCGCTGTACAGTGAGTTTATGCGCTCCCATTGGCCGATCTGCTTAAGTGGCTTCGAATTTAAGTGAGAGAGGCCTACTTAACTAAGCCCGACTTCAGTTCAATGAAAATGTCAATACGTAATATTACGTCACACCACAGGGATTTTGACATGTCATGCTTTAAACAGGTGATGCACTTCACACATAACTGACGCACACACGAAATTGCACACACATAAAATAGAAAAATCAACAAACATTTTAGAATAAATTTCCAGTTTGTTAATGAGAATTGTTCAAACTTTAAAAATAGTTACATCAGACTTAAACTTTAAAGGGGAAGTCCACCCTGAAATTAAGTTAGTTTTAATAGGAGTAGAAAAATGAGAGAAACAAGTCAGTGAAAGTTTGAGCAAATTCCGATTAAAAATAAGGAAGTTAGGATTTTTGAAGTTGTGATCAATCAAACACAAATTGGCAACTCTATGACGTATCATGCGAGCTCAACTTCCATTTGCTCAGTACTAAAAAAATCTAAAATTTTCATTTTCCCTCAAGAAAAATTTCAACCATACATGCACCCTAAATATAATAATTGCAAATATGTTTCTATACTCCCCCTGCAAGGAACAAATATATATTCCGTCATCAATAACGAAGAAAACATGATTTTATGGAATATTATGCACAAAGCAAATGAAGGAGAGCTCGTATAATAAGTCACAGAGTTGCCAATTTGTATTTGATTGATCACAACTTCAATAATTCATAACTTTCATATTTTCATTCAGAATTTGCTCAAACTTTCACTCACCTGATTTTCTTATTATTCTGCCTCTATCGAAACAAACTTATTTTGGGGGAGGACTTTCCCTTTAACCTTTTATTTAAGGAAGCTGAAAAAATCATTACAAACAGAGGGTTTGACTGAAGTATCCTAATTTTGGTATCGGATGAAACAGAAAACCGCAAGCTATCTCCTCGCACCAATATCTTATTCATAGAGCCTATGGGCATGATGGGAGCCAATCTGAAGGGTCCATGTCGGCTAGGCTAGGCGCCAACTTACGAAAATGAGACTGAGATCGGATGAACGTTCTGCGCATGCGCTAAATGTAAGCTAAATTTCTGCGTGATGTGTAACTTCCCAGGTCGAAATTCCTTTAGAAACCAGTAGAAACCAGTAGAGATATTCTAATGGTTTTACTGGTTTTCAAGAAACCATTAGAGTCTATTGGTGATCAGGAGGAACTGTGAAGTAAAACCAGTATAAACCTTTACAAACCAGTAGACTGTCATGGTTTAAAGACCAGTAGAAACCAGTAAGATCTAATGGTTTGAACATGGATGCACAAATCTTAAGTCAAACCATTAGACACCTTTACAAACCAGTAGAGCCTAATGGTTTTGAAGACCACTAGAATCCGATAGAAACCAGTAGGATCTAATGGTTTTAACATGGGTGTAAAAATCCTAAGTCAAACCATTAGAAACCTTAACAAACCAGTAGAGCCTAATGGTTTGAAGACCAGAAGAAACCAATAAAAACCAGTAAGATCTAATGGTTTGAACATGGATGCACAAATCTATAAGTCAAACCATTAGACACCTTTACAAAACCAGTAGAGCCTAATGGTTTTGAAGACCACTAGAATCCGATAGAAACCAGAAGAATCTAATGGTTTTAACATGGGTGTAAAAATCCTAAGTCAAACCATTAGAAACCTTAACAAACCAGTAGAGCCTAATGGTTTTGAAGACCACTAGAATCCGATAGAAACCAGAAGAATCTAATGGTTTTAACATGGGTGTAAAAATCCTAAGTCAAACCATTAGACACCTTTACAAAACCAGTAGAGCCTAATGGTTTTGCAGACCACTAGAGTCCGATAGAAACCAGAAGAATCTAATGGTTTTAACATGGGTGTAAAAATCCTAAGTCAAACCATTAGACACCTTTACAAAACCAGTAGAGCCTAATGGTTTTGCAGACCACTAGAGTCCGATAGAAACCAGAAGAATCTAATGGTTTTAACATGGGTGTACAAATCCTAAGTCAAACCATTAGACACCTTTACAAAACCAGTAGAGCCTAATGGTTTTGAAGACCACTAGAATCCGATAGAAACCAAAAGAATATAATGGTTTTAACATGGGTGTAAAAACCCTAAGTCAAACCATTAGAAACCTTAACAAACCAGTAGACTGTAATGGTTTGAAGACCAGTAGAAACCAATAAAAACCAGTAAGATCTAATGGTTTGATTATGGATGCACAAATCTTAAGTCAAACCATTAGACACCTTTACAAAACCAGTAGAGCCTAATGGTTTTGAAGACCACTAGAATCTGATAGAAACCAGTAGATTCTAATGGTTTGAACATGGGTGTAAAAATCTTTAGTCAATTACCATTAGAAACCTTTACAAACCAGCAGATCGAGCCCATGTCAATGGATTTGAAAACCAGTTGAAACAAATAGAAATCAGTAAGATCTAGCGCCGCCTCTGAATCAGTCTGACTATATTTATTTAAAAACCCCAAAACAGGGATGAAAAACTCTAAAATGTCATTAGTCATTATATTAATAGTTTTATTTTACAGATTGTGCAACATCTTGACATATGCCCTGTAAGGTCTGCAATATTGATCAAGATTATACAAGCCCCAAAACCCCAAAATGCGACTGCCGCCTTTTTTAAACGGCTACACAGCTGGCGTCTCTCTGGGCTACACTATAGCACTGTGTGTGTGTGCACATGTAATCAATGCATGCAGTGTGTGCGTGTACCCAGCCAGGCCATGCCTTATGACACACACACATGACAGCAAGACAGCCATTCCTATCCTCAACAGCTACAGGAGCCAGAGCAGAGAGACAAAATCTTTTTATTACTTTGTTTTCCCCTGCTATTCTTCAATATGGGTAAGTCTTAGATTTACCTAATTTATTTGCAATATGTGCAGTAACTGTTTTCTGTTTTGAAACGTAGTAATTAATGTATGATTGTGTCTACTAGGAATGCTTTCAACGCCTGCCGCAAAGATGAGAAATGTATTGTCCCATCCATGTATTTTTATGTTAGATCTTGATGCAAGTTTGTGCATTCACCTACACATGGCTTTAAAGGCATCGTTTAACAATGTTAAATCTATGATGCATGGCCCTACGTATTATCAGTGTCAGTGATATGGTGTAATATTGAAGCCCTAACAAAATTGCGCTTCAAAATGATCATGAACTTGATGAAGTGCCTCAAAAAGTAAAAATCTTTGACTTTTGAGTGACCAGTTTTACCATACTCATTTTCCCCAATAGACTGTAGTGTTATAAAACCATTGGGGAAAACGTTTTTTGAAATTTTGAATTCCAATCATAAATGTCTTGATATTCAGACAAGCCGCCGTCCCCCCCCCCCCCCCCCCCCCCCCCGCGCTTATCCCGAAAGAGTGCGTTAAGGCGGTACTCCGTTTCTGCAACGCACCCTAATTTCAAGACAAGCGGGGAAGGGGGCTTTAATCACTTTATGGTGTGTTCGCAGTTTCGCACAATATAAACAGAAGCCCTCATCTGGAAATAAACAGCTAGACCCGTAAATGGTAAACAAAATTCCTCCCCCGCAGGCTGTACAAAGAAGTTTATAGTAGGCCTACATGTATGTGTGTTGCACATGCATCAACCGTTCAATTTGTTTTAACTTTATTTTTGTTCTTATTAATTGTAGGCATCTTTTGACATCTTTTGCCAAACAGTGGATTCAAAGCATATTGTGGACACAGTAGGCCTATATTGACGTGAGACCATGCAGAAAATGCTACTTTCTCTCAACCTCCTGGATCAGCATTCAGCAGCCTCGTGACACAGTTGAAGCCATTATCGGTAATTGTGTAGATGTACTTGTAATATTTCTGTACATATATTTTTAATTTTTCCCTGATCATGACACTGGTTCGAAATGCTTATTTTTCCTAAGTTTCAAATATATAAAATTCAATTAATTTTAGATCACTAAAACCTGCAGGTATATTGCAATAACCGACCATATTTTGTGAGTTTCAAACAGTGTTCTTTTCCCTCCTTAGCAATAGAGCTTTGATTCTACTCTCATCAGCAAACTAGAATTGTATTGATAATTATTTGCACAAAAATCCTGATTCACGTTTGCATTGACAACAAATGTTTAAAATGCAAAGGTATGTTTTATATTATGTTTGTGAGTAATGAGAGATTATTTTATTTCTTATAAATCTTTGAAACTGCACTTTTCTGACAGAATTCATTATTTAATTCATTGTTTACATTCTAGTTTTAAAATGGATAAAAGTTTTTCTTAACTTGTTTTCCTTTCTTTTTGCTCTATATTCATGCATTAGAATTCTTTGCGTGTACCGGTATGTACCCTGGATCAAGCAGCACTTGCATTATACAGGAGATTCCACCCAAAATCTAAACCATGAGTCCAAGCTGAAGAGGAATATTTCCAAAATGAGGTCTACACACACACAGAGGTTACTTTCCCCTTCATTATAGAGATATCGAGAGAGAGAGATGGGTGGGGGGGGGGGGGGGGGGAGTGAGTTATAGCCACGAACCTGAATAGCTTAGATGTAGAACTGAGATGCCCATTCATGTCACTTGCCATTTTAATGAATTCCAGGGTTTACAAACATACATATTAACACTTTGGGTAAAAGATCTCTGTATTTGCATAAATTTGTTATTACTATTTATGAAGTAGACCTGTTTCATAATGCTTATGTAGTAGATCAGTCTCATACTCGACCCCACCCCCTTCATATCACAATGTCAATTCCTAAAACCTGTGGCAAATTATATAAGTTGGTAATAGAGAAAAATTGAATGAGGTAGATGCAATACAAATCGATTCCAATCTTAAGCACTTAAGACTTTATTCAGGTATGGCACGTGAACCGCCCAAAAAATTCAAAAAATGCTGCAGTTTTGTTTTATGTTTAAAGTGAACGGTAACAAAGGACCTACATGTTTTTGTATATTTTGGACTGCGCATATTCAGTGATCTCTGTATTATAATATGTAGAAATGTAAAGCATATAGAACTTTATGTTAGCTCCAGCATCATATCTGAACGAGCCTTAAAAGACAATCCAACCCTTGTAATAAGTTCATTGAAATGGAAGCTGAAAAATAAGAGAAATAGAAAGGCGAAAGTTTGAAATAAATCGGGCCAATATAAAGGGAGTTGTGATAATATATAAATATGAGATCACTAAATCCATGCATATCTCAATGAAATGCTAGAGCGCCGTATGGCAGCCGTGCTAAAGCCAGGGTAATAATCGGGAGCGCCAGGAGGGTCAAATCTGACTGACATGAGCGCTACACAAGAACCCACTATTATTATTATTATTACACCTGTAGTCATGGGACAACTCTCCCATTTGTTAATGAAATATAATAAATTCTCTTTTTATTTTAAGTGCCTTCTCCCTTTGAGAACTACTCAAAATGTATTATGAATAGCACATTATTACAGGTCCTCTACATAGAAAAGCCACTCGTGAATCATACATTTTGAAGAAAAAAAATATTTAAATCATTTTGTGTGTTGAAATAAATGGGAAAGTAGTCCAGCAGCTCGTCATAGTGACATTACCGATTCAGCCAATTTAAAATGCCCTTAGGTTTAGTGATTACAGCTTTCAACAATCCATAACCACCTTATTTTCTGTCAGATTTAATTTGCTATTTTTTAAAAGTATAGTTGTCTGTTAAGGTTGGATTTCCCTTTAAAAAGTGTAAAGGGTAAGCCCTATGTAACATAATGTGATTAGGCCATTTTCGTTATTAATCAAATCAAATTGCCGCGGAACAAATTATCTCTTTCACCTACATGTATTAAGAATAATTGTATTTCAATAGTCAGAATGCGATATGCAAACATTATGTGTTGTTAGGTAGGGCAAGACATAATGTTTGTCCTACCTATAGTACTAGCAACACGTAATGTATTCAATTTATATTCTGACTATTTAAATACATTTATTCGTAACAGGTGAATTTAATAATTGGTAATGAGGCACTTAACAAGGACCTACCGTATTCATTAAATTTGATTACAATACGAAAATGACCTACGTACAGTACATGTATTCATATGGATAGGAAATCTTTGAACTGTTATATGTCGTTTTCTGAGGGTTCATAATTTTATAAATTCTAAAGGGTTCATAATTCTACAAATGAAGTAGGATTCCTAATTCTGAAAATGAACTAGGATTTGTAATTCCAAAAATGAAATATGGTTCATAATTCAGAAAATTAAATAGGGCTCAATATACTTCCAAAAGTTTATTATTCTGAAAATGCAAATAGAACCCTTTATCCTTTTTGGAATTACGAACCGTCAATATAATGAATCCTATTTCATATTCAAAATAATACCATTTCATTTGCCGAATTATGAACCCTATTTCAATATCGTTATTAACGCCCCTTTTTCAATTCCAGAATTATGCACCATTTATATTTTTCGTAATTATGAAATGTATTTCATTTTTAAATTCAAACCCTTCTTAAATATGGACCATATTTCATTTGTTTATCGATTTGTCATAATTTGTCATAATACACTGTACTATCAAGTTACATTTATTGATGAACAGCATATCACAGCACTTGTCAAAATAGTAAGACCGTAAATGAATTTGTTTTGCTTGTGAATGTAGTAGGCTTATATTATGTAGTACACAATATTACATTTCCAATTGCTGCAACTTCATATCAATCTTTTACATGTACTATGACAATCTACAGGTCAAAATCATGCTTTGCGTAATCATTTGTGAATTATTCTCTATTTAATATACATGAATGAAGTACTTAAATTTGTGCAAATGAACTTATTCTCCATGGTGGGAAATTACAAACGAAATTTCTCAGCAAAAACTATTTCTCATTGTTTCTACTCATGATGGCTACCGTAAGATAACTATTGCAAATTGCCAAACCTACTCTTTTAAACATCTACTCCAAATTTTCAAGATCGATTTCTCTTTGTTAAAACTGGCCATAATTTCTAGACAATAATTAGCCAATTTAACATTTTTTTATTTTTTTATATTTCTTCTTTTGTTGTTGAAATGTGTAAAAAAAATCCTTTTTCACTTAAGCTGTTAACCTTGCTTTTAAACGTTCATGTCATTGTAATCACTATATGATGTATGATATTCTGACAGATAATTAAAGGATACACTGTTAAGTGTTAAATATGATAAAGATGAACCAACATGATTGTGATGTCTTTTGTTAACAGACGTTTGCGAGAGAAATGGCTGAACCTCGAGAAAATAGTTAATTGTGTTGGAAGCAAACTTCATGCCAGCTCCTGTCATTTTCGTGTCTACTTTGCAGACCAGCATTCCCTTTTAAAGTACAAAAAAAAAAAACAAGGGCTGGCAGATTTTGTGAGGAGTACTGTGTTGGAAGTGCATTGATGTAGTAGAATTTAAACTGATCAACAAAATGTCAACCATGTAATGTAACCAATGCTGTGGTTCAATTGAGGATTCCTACTTGTGTTCTACTGGTCTCCTACTGGTTCCATTGGGGATTCATACTTGTTTTCTACTGGTCTCCTAATGGTTCCAGTTGGGATTCCTACTGGTCTCCTAATGGTTCCATAAGGGTTTTCCACTGGTCTTCTACTGGTATCCTAATGGTTTCTGTATGGAATCCTACTGGTCTCCTAATGGTTCCAGTTGGGATTCCTACTGGTCTCCTAATGGTTCCATTGGGGGTTTCTACTGGTATCCTAATGGTTTCTGTATGGATTCCTACTGGTCTCCTAATGGTTCCAGTTGGGATTCCTACTGGTCTCCGAATGGTTCCATTGGGGTTTTCTACTGGTTTTCTACTGGTATCCTAATGATTTCTGTATGGATTCCTACTGGTCTCCTAATGGTTCCAGTTGGGATTCCTACTGGTCTCCTAATGGTTCCATTGGGGTTTTCTACTGGTTTTCTACTGGTATCCTAATGGTTTCTGTATGGATTCCTACTGGTCTCCTAATGGTTCCATGACTTCTTTTTTACTTGTCTAATGGTTCCAGAACTTCTTTTCTACTGGTCTTCTAATGGTTTTTATATCGATTTCTACTGGTCCCCTACTGGTTCCAGTGGGGATTTGTACTTGTTTCCTACTGGTCTCCTAATGGTTCCAGTTGGGATTCCTACTGGTCTCCTAATGGTGCCATTAGGTTTTGCTAATGGTCTTCTACTGGTCTTCTGCTGGTTCCAGTACGATTTTTTTCTACTGGTTTCTAATGGAAAAAGCGCCACTTTCCATATTGAAACCAGTAGAGAATTGACCACTAGAAACCGTTAGAAATCTGTACTGGTTTTCTCTACTGGTTTCTATGGGATTTTCGACCTGGGTTGTAAGTTGTAACTAAGCTTTCTGTCAGTCTGTGAAACTGTTTAGAAATATCAGATCCAACAGTTAGATTCTAGAGTCTGTAGGTTAGAGACGTTGTCTCCGTACTCCGTAGTTGAGTCGGTGGACAAAGTTATCTTTATCTTGGTTATGATAATATGAATACGAGTACGACTGGCTTGTCGGTTGTTTTGAGAAACTGGGGCCCTAAGACTGCAGGGCCCCCATCATCATGATCATAACCCAGGCTCATGCCATGGCCCCCATCGTTCTTCATTTGTCATGCAATTCAAACAAACATATGCACGTGCACTGTAGGCCTATTACAGCACTGAACTGTGCACTGCTGTGTCACACAGCTCGCAGCCGAGGTTGTGACCTGCCAATTAATGCATGCATTATATTATTAAACATTAAAACCCTAAATCCAAGTTAGAGTAGATCTACAGACTCTAGACAAGTAGTCTTGGAGCAGTTCATGTAGACAAATATTAATGAAAATTAAACTCACGTTCATTGAAATTCTACCTGGGAATCCGGCCTGGCTGCGCTACCGCACACACATGACAAATTGTACTAGCCTACGTTAAGTCGATTCACGTGCAGTGATAGGTACAACGGGTAGCATATATTGGCACCAAGATTAACGGCGATATGAATATTCATTATTCCCTACGTCACAGACGTGCGGCGTGCGTACTCTGTCTATGGATCTGTCTTATACACAGGTACATGTACTGTACTAGTACAAGAGTACGTTCGCAAGCATTACTACATACATTGCTCCGAAATGAAGAGAATCATTATAAAGGACGAATTACTCCGTGAAGCCAAGTACAAGCAGGGAATTGAAATAGCAAACGTTCCTCGGAGCGGCTATACAATCCCTAATCTAGCTAGTTTTGTAATGACAGTTTATAGGAAAATGGACATTTAGTAGGCCTACTGTTTAGTTGTTCAATAAAATGACTCAGTTTGATTTGATTCGAGATATATCTCATTAATAAAACAGTATAAAGGCTGTAGGAGTGCAAACGAACCTGCCAACACCGTAACAATGCTCCAAATTTAGTAATGACATGCCCTATGAAAGACCCGGGGTTGGATTATTTAGGAGAACGGAAGATTGATATTGTTAAGTTGTTCCATAAAATCACTCAGTTTCATTTGATTCGAGATATAGTTATCTCATTAATAAAACAGTATAAAGGCTGTATGAGTCTCCAAGAACGATCGCCACTAATCTTGGTGCCAACACCGTTAAACTATGCTCCAAATTTAGTACTACCTTTTTTGTGCCCTATATGCTAAAGACCCATGCAGGGTTGGATTCTTTAGGAGAATGGAAGATTGATATTGTTGTTTCATAACATCTTTCAGTTTGATTTGATTCGGGATATATCTCATTAATAAAACAGTATAAAGGCTGTATGAGTCTCACACGAACGATCGCCACTAATCTTGGTGCCAACACCGTTAATCTATGCTCCAAATTTAGTAATACATTTTGTGTGCCCTATAATGACCCGGGGTTGGATTATTTAGGAGAACAGAAGATTGATATTGTTAAGTTGTTTCATAACATCACTCAGTTTCATTTGATTCGAGATATATCTCATTAATAAAACAGTATAAAGGCTGTATGAGTCTCACACGAACGATCGCCACTAATCTTGGTGCCAACACCGTTAATCTATGCTCCAAATTTAGTAATACATTTTGTGTGCCCTATAATGACCCGGGGTTGGATTATTTAGGAGAACAGAAGATTGATATTGTTAAGTTGTTTCATAACATCACTCAGTTTCATTTGATTCGAGATATATCTTATTAATAAAACAGTATAAAGGCTGTATGAGTCTCGGACGAACCATCGCCACTAATCTTGTTGCCAACACCGTTAATCTATGCTCCAAATTAAGTAATACATTTTGTGTGCCCTATGAAAGACCCGGGGTTGAATTATCTGGGAGAACGGAAGATTGATATTGTTAAGTTGTTCCATAAAATCACTCAGTTTGATTTGATTCGAGATATATCTCATTAATAAAACAGTATAAAGGCTGTATGAGTCTCCAAGAACGATCGCCACTAATCTTGGTGCCAACACCGTTAAACTATGCTCCAAATTTAGTACTACCTTTTTTGTGCCCTATATGCTAAAGACCCATGCAGGGTTGGATTCTTTAGGAGAATGGAAGATTGGTATTGTTGTTTCATAACATCATTCAGTTTGATTTGATTCGAGATATATCTCATTAATAAAACAGTATAAAGGCTGTATGAGTCTCGGACGAACCATCGCCACTAATCTTGGTGCCAACACCGTTAATCTATGCTCCAAATTTAGTGATACATTTTGTGTGCCCTATAATGACCCGGGGTTGGATTATTTAGGAGAACAGAAGATTGATATTGTTAAGTTGTTTCATAACATCACTCAGTTTGATTTGATTCGAGATATATCTCATTAATAAAACAGTATAAAGGCTGTATGAGTCTCGGACGAACCATCGCCACTAATCTTGGTGCCAACACCGTTAATCTATGCTCCAAATTTAGTAATACATTTTGTGTGCCCTATTATGACCCGGGGTTGGATTATTTAGGAGAACAGAAGATTGATATTGTTAAGTTGTTTCATAACATCTCTCAGTTTGATTTGATTCGAGATATATTTCATTAATAAAACAGTATAAAGGCTCTATGAGTCTCCAAGAACGATCGCCACTAATCTTGGTGCCAACACCGTTAAACTATGCTCCAAATTTAGTACTACCTTTTTTGTGCCCTATATGCTAAAGACCCATGCAGGGTTGGATTCTTTAGGAGAATGGAAGATTGATATTGTTGTTTCATAGCATCATTCAGTTTGATTTGATTCGAGATATATCTCATTAATAAAACAGTATAAAGGCTGTATGAGTCTCACACGAACGATCGCCACTAATCTTGGTGCCAACACCGTTAATCTATGCTCCAAATTTAGTACTACCTTTTTTGTGCCCTATATGCTAAAGACCCATGCAGGGTTGGATTCTTTAGGAGAATGGAAGATTGATATTGTTGTTTCATAACATCATTCAGTTTGATTTGATTCGAGATATATCTCATTAATAAAATAGTATAAAGGCTGTATGAGTCTCGGACGAACGATCGCCACTAATCTTGGTGCCAACACCGTTAAACTATGCTCCAAATTTAGTACTACCTTTTTTGTGCCCTATATGCTAAAGACCCATGCAGGGTTGGATTCTTTAGGAGAATGGAAGATTGATATTGTTGTTTCATAGCATCATTCAGTTTGATTTGATTCGAGATATATCTCATTAATAAAACAGTATAAAGGCTGTATGAGTCTCACACGAACGATCGCCACTAATCTTGGTGCCAACACCGTTAATCTATGCTCCAAATTTAGTACTACCTTTTTTGTGCCCTATATGCTAAAGACCCATGCAGGGTTGGATTCTTTAGGAGAATGGAAGATTGATATTGTTGTTTCATAACATCATTCAGTTTGATTTGATTCGAGATATATCTCATTAATAAAATAGTATAAAGGCTGTATGAGTCTCGGACGAACGATCGCCACTAATCTTGGTGCCAACACCGTTAATATATGCTCCAAATTTAGTAATACATTTTGTGTGCCCTATAATGACCCGGGGTTGGATTATTTAGGAGAACGGATGATTGATATTGTAAAGTTGTTCCATAACATCACTCAGTTTGATTTGATTCGAGATCTTTCTCATGAATAAAACAGTATAAACGCTGTACAAGTCTCAAACGAACCATCGCCACTAAACTTTGTGCCAACACCATTAAACTATGCTCCAAATTTGGTTATACATTTTGTGTGTCTATAAAGACCGAGGCTTCCCAGGATCATTTAAGAGAATGGAAGATTGATATTGAGAAGTTGTTCGATAACATCACTCAGTTTGATTTGATTGCGCATTATGTCTCTTAATAATGGTGTAAAAGTCTCTAAAGAGAAGAAAAAGATGTGAAAGGGAAAGAGGAGAGAAAGGAAAAGAAAGAAGAGGAAAAAGAAAAGAAAAAGGGGGAGGGGAAGAAAGAGATCAGGGGGAGGGGGGCCGAAATGGGCCTTGCCTCCCATGATGTTGCTTCCACTTCCCCCTCCCAGCAAAACAAAAAGAGAGAAGAAGGAAAGGGAAAGCAAAAAGGAAAAGAGGAGATAACGGAAAGGAAAAAAAAAGGGAAGAAGATAAGAAAAGAAGGGGAATATCAGTTACTATTTTTTCCGCCAACAAGTTGTGGATCCAGGGGGGGGGGCAAAAGGCCCTTGCCTCTTCCCCCCCTCCCCCACCGCCAAAAAAGAAGGGGAAAAGGGGGAAGGGAAAGAGGAGCGCTAAAAGGGAACAAAAAAAAGGAAGCGGGGGGGGGGGGGGTAAGAGGACACTTTTTTGGGGGTCTCGAAATTTGAAAATTTGACATTTTGTTCCGTAGGGGGGGGGGTGGGTGTTGAGGTCACCTTTTTTAGGACAGCCATTGGCATAATTAAAAAAAAAAAAAAGGGGGGGGGGGTTGCTCCAAGATACACACATAACAAAAAACCGAACAGGGGGAGGTTCAACCCCAAATTCCCCCCCCCCCCTCCGTACGCGCCTGCTCTTCTGATTACAGTTTTCGACTCTTAATCCTCGTTTGTTTTCAGTCCCCCCCCCCCCTCCCGCGCGAAGCGCGGAAGCTTGTACATTTCATTAAATCATTAGAGAAAGAAGACGATTCGTTGTACCGTTTTCGACTCTTAATCCTCGTCTGAATTCAGTTTCCCCCCCCCTCCTATCCGCGCGCGCGAAGCGCGGAAGCTTTTACGTTTCAAATCTTTAGAGAAAGAAGACGATTTGTTGTACCGTTCCCGACTCTTAATCCACACCTCCTGCGCCAAGCGCGGAAGCTTTGACATTTAATTCAATTATTAGAGAAACAAGACGATTTTGATACCTTGTCCGCCCCCGGAAACTCATGGGTTGAAGGCAAATTACGGTCAGATAAGTATTCAGGGGCCCGCCTCAGGGCCCCTGGTGGGGTCGAGGGTGCGGAAACCCCTGAATCTCAGGGGTTTCAGGCATTTGATTACGGTCAGATGAACATATTTTTATACTTTATTTGTGACACTGGCAGGACACTGATTGGCGTGAGGTCCAGCGGGCGGAGCCCCCAGAAGATCAAGGGTTTTAGGCACTAAATTTTGGTCAGATGAGTAGGCAAGGGGCCTACCCAAGTGCCCTTGGTTGGGTCCCGGGGACAGAGCCCCCGGAAGCTTAGGGGTTTTAGGCACTAAATTGTGGTCAGATGAGTATCAAGGGGCCTGCCCAAGGGCCCTTGGTTGGGTCCCGGGGACAGAGCCCCCGGAAGCTCAGGGGTTTTAGGCGTCTAATTACGGTCAGATGAGCAATTTTTTGATACCTTATTTTGTTGTGACACTGGTAGTTAACTATTTTTTCTTTCTTGCTCTCTTTCTTTCTATTTCTCTTTAAAATGCTTTTCAAAAAAAAAAAAATGGGGGGGGGGGGGAGCTGGAGGCTCCCGATCCCCGCCGTTCAGCGGGCCCTGACATGTAGGCATCTCAAGAAGCATATT